GTGTGGAGAGCCGTGTCCACGGTCTGGCCATCGCAGGTGATCCCCGAAACATCCTTTCCCAGTGATCACCTGCGACAGTCGGTATGAGAGGGTCCCGTGACGCCTCTCGAGTCTAGTCTATACACCTCATAATTTATACGAAACATTCCATGATAATCAGTTTTGCACTTTAAAAAAACATGAAAGTCAAAAAAACAAACACACTCTCACAATTAAAATACCTACTACTTAGAATTATATTTCTCTTATTCATCATCATGATCATCAGCCTATTGCCATCCATTAGAGTCAGAACATATCGAAAAATCTAACCTTTACTGTCATGTGAACTGTGTTTTTAACCGGTTCAAAAATATGCTGTTGATAATGTGCAGGGATACTACACACACATGCACAACGTAGTTATACGGCGGCTGTGTGCGGTATCGGGGTGAGCATGTTCCATCAGCGCCAATTAAACATCGTAAGTATTTAATTAAGCTATTATTTTATTATTACTAGATTCTAAACTAATTCAATTATAACAGTATTGTATGAAAATTATATAATAGGTCTTTACCAATGAAATTGCCGTTTTGTATGCAATAAGTGAAAGTACTTATTTTTTCAAACTTTTTTATTTCTGTTATTCGAAGTTATCACCCATGCCATCGACGACGCATTGGCAGTTTATTGTAAACATCAGCTGGACGGGAGGCAACAAACTCTTCAAAGGCATTTTGTACTGCCTCTCGGGAATTGAATTTTTTACCCACTAAAAAGTTGTCTAAATTTTGGAAAAGTAATAGTCGGTAGGTGCAAGGTCTGGTGGTCACATTTGCAACCAGCTTTGGTCAATCGGTCGTCCCCACTGCTCCTTCACGACAACGCGCGACCCCATACTGCGCAACAGACAGTCTCCAAGCTGCAAGATCTGGGGTTGGAAGCTATCCCTCATCCGCCATACTCACCAGACCTTGCACGTGAGATGGGGAGAGATTGAGAGGGAGATAGAGGAGAGAATGAGATTGCCTTTGAGCGATAATTTGTACTTATATCATCCAATATTAAGTTAGTTTTTGTAGTTAACTGGTCTTGTCCGTGTGGTGACGGATTAAGGATATGGAGTGTCACCACCCCTATTCATTCCATGGGTGTCGGAAGAGTGGACTAAGAGGACAACAGCACTGCAAAGAAAAGGAAAAGAAAACCTATACCAACCGGTCTGGTCAGCGTGGTATGCTGTAGGTCAAAACCTCGTTTCTAAGGAGAAGCCCATGTCAGAAGTTGGCTGTTGATGCTGATGATGATAACCTGGTGTACAATAAAGTGATTTTTACTATTCATTCTAATGTCTCTAGTAATTCATTTCAATAAATCCACAAATAATGTCGTTACTTTTCGTTATAGGGTTATGTAACGATAGACATGTCATTACAACTGCCTAATTCATAGACATATTTTCGTAAAATGTGAAGAGCCGATAACTTTTTATCGGCTCTTAGCATTTCGCGAAAACATAATTGTATCAGTGTTGTGTAACGGCGTTCTCAGTATTGTCATGAGAGCGTTAGACCGATGTTATGTTAAGGGGAAGTATTATTAGTTAGATACATTTATTTTGTAACACAACATGATAATTTGTACTCGTCAATGTAAGTTCGTACAAAACTTATATTTAAATCATCATCATTATTTACAAACCTTTGAATGGCCTGAAGTTTCGATCACCGGCCATAGTCACAGTTTTCAAACGTATGTCATGTCATACCTATCCTATTCCTAAAAATATCATCACCAAATAGTATATCATGGAACGCGAAAGTTAGAATATTACATAGAGTAAATACGTATATATTTTTTTATTTTAAAGTGAAAGTGAATCTTTTTATTTAAAACTAGCGGGTACCTGCGACTTCGTTCTGGTACCAGCTGGTAATACTAGCTGGTACCAGAACTCCCTATATACCCTCTCTCTTTACTACTCTCTCCTATATACTCCTTAGTGGGTTCTAAAATTATATAGGGTTTTTATAAGATAAAAAAAAAAACAGTTTTACTAGATGAGCAAGGTAAAACAACAACCGCGGGTATTCTTGCGGGTCGCACCTAGTAACTAATATTTTTATTAATCCCTCCAGCTAAGCTGAATGTTTGTGCTAAATTAGATTGGTAGCATTAGGTGTAGTTTGAATCTGAAACGACTTGATTACCGTCATTACGGTACCACCATATTTTATGGAAAATTTAATAGTTTGGAATTAGGCATTCTAGGGTTAAAATCTTATATAATGTAACAAATGCTAAGTCACTAAACCGATTTTAAAAATTCTTTCACCAATGTAAACATTATCAACGAGTAACACAGCAATTTTTTTTACACGCGGGCCGGGCCGCGGGCATAAGCTAGTATATGCATATAAGGCAACTAATTAATTCAAAGGATCCGCTATTCCAGCAAAAATGAGGAAGAACCGATGGCGTGGTTGGATTGGTTCAGTTGCCAATCCAATCTAATATATTTAGTTTCCATTAAATAATATCTAAACTGGCATCACTGTTTTTGAGTGCAGTAATCTATCGAAGAACCTTGTATCGCGGAGGCTTAGCCTTATCAACATTTCGTTATAGACGTTATGTTCGTTATAAGGAAAATGATTTACAAGATAGAAATTACGATTAGAGAGATACTATAACACAAGAGGTTATCTAAATCACCAGAAACAGACGTTAAAGGCATATCATATCATAGACGGTATATGAAAATCGTAGGACGTAAGAACAACCCTGGAGCTAATTGTATTCTCGTGCCTTTATTTGATCACTAAGTACTGCTTTTGTGTCAGTTCTTTCTAGCCAGAGTGCATTCCTATATCACAAATTATAGCGCTATAATATATTTCTAATTTAAATTATTCGCTTATAGAAAATTTCTTACAGGTATGTTTAGAGGTTATCCGCATGCCGTTAGCAATGACCCATGAATAATACTGTTGGTGGCACTGGCAATAAATTCAACAAAATAATACACGAGTAACGGCAAAACCCAACTGTTGCAGTCACGCAATTTGTTATCACCTGATAAAAGACTTCATCAGATTCTATCAAACCATTCCTAATATGCATGGCTCCTCATTCATTCAAAATAATTTCAACCTGATGGAGTTACTAACTAAACTTTTCAGTCACCCCCAATAAAGCTGTCAAGAGTAAATTAGTGGAACAGTTGCAAATTAATTATCAATTAAAGAACACAACAAAAGATACACATACAATCATAACTAGATACCCGCATCTACCCTTGTCAATCAATTTTCCGTGTTCCTCGTGTATGTCAGTTATGGCGTTAAAAAGTAGTCTATGTTAATCGCTGATAATGTAGCTTTCCATTAGTGAAAGAATTTTCAAAATCGTTTAATGGTTAGGCGTGAAAGCGTAACAAACATACAAAGGATTTTTCAAATTTGAACCATTAGTTTTTAAGATGTGTCAAGCGAGTTGGACCAAACAAACAAACTTTTCAGCTTTATAATATTGGTATAGATGTTATTAGATCAGTACTTGAAGAGCACATTTAGTTTTTCGCCCATAACTTTTTCCTTTTTAGACATGCTATACAGTTATCCTTGTTACGTTTTCATAACACGTTTTAAATTGCCAGGCGTCCTATAGCAGTCGGCACAAACGCTATTAAATTCATGAGCTAGCCGCGTTCAAATAGTTTTTCTCTTGTGGCTATTTGTAGGAGTGTCAATCCGCTTATATTCAATAATGTACTTTTGTATTTCATTAGACTCTTTGTTAAAATTACTTTTGTTTTGTTTGTTGTGTGTTGTTTTTTAAAATTAATACTTACATTTCACTGCGAGCAAAAATTTTTTTAAAATAATCGATTCAAGTCTGTTTGCTGTGTAATACCAACAAATTTAGAGTGATAGTAGAAGTAAGTCAAACGAGTTTAATTGAAAACTGAAACTACATATCGGCACTCCTAAATTGTTTGCATTTAAGTTAAATATCGAACTCAAAGATTAACACCCTCCTTGATACCTTCGGTTCTCACGACAGCAGACCGAGATTGATTCCTGGTCGCGAAACATATTATGTGTTTTCTAGAAATTAATTTTCACGTCTTTGTTTTGTATTAAATAAAGGATTTCATATGTGTCACTAGATGCTATAGAAGGGACATCGTTATTTTATTGAGAAAACTATTATATTTCACTAAATTATACAACTATATATAAATATGTATATACAATTTTTGTCACTGCCATATATATATATATATATATATATATATATATATATATATATATATATATGGCAGTGACAAAAATTGCAAACTAGCAAAACTTCTAATGTATTATAGAGAAAAGCTTCTTAGTTTATTCAAGTTTTTATTAGATGAGTTTGATAGTTTCATTCATATCATGATTAATATGTATAAATATTTTTTAGTGCAGACTTCTGCCTTTTCAATATTAGGATCTCAATATTAATTGTAAAAACTCTAATCTATTTAACTATGAACCGGTAAGGATTTCTTTCAGTATTATATACCGTCCACAATAAGCAACAAAAACAAAAACTACTAAAGAAATAATTCAAAACAAAACAATAATAAAGATGTTTCAATGTTTAGAACTGTATAAAATTGCAGTGAGAATAGTTATGTATAAAATCCATTATAGCCAGGCCTGCCTGCCAGCTGCCTCTAGGGAAATCAGAGGCGACAGTAATTATATGTTTTATGTTTTTTCTACATCGCATTCTGATGCCAACAACGATTCACTACATTGTCTGTACTCAGATAGTTTTATGGCCATCATGAGTGTTGCTAAACCTATAAAATAACGATTTACGACCCAATTATTTAGTCTCATGTTTCTGTTTAGTTACAAGCAAAATAAAGGCAAAAAGAAAAGTTACTTAAACTGTGTTCAAATCATTTTATTACAGGCATTACAAAAAAATGAACTATAAATATTTTGCTGATTTAGAATAAAATTCTCAGTTTTTCATTTATTTAGAAATTCACTAGGTTTTAAAGTAGACCGACGCTGCGGGGAAAACTCCATGTATTTCTCTGTGTCACGAAGCTGATCACCTTGTTCAATTCTATTATTATATTTCAAATGCACTGATCCCATCCTGTGAGATGCAGAAGAGATAATCGATGCCACACTGTAAGCCGGATGAGGTAAATCCGGAATTTGAGAAATGTAATAATCTCGAAGTTTTTGACGTTCCACTTCTTTCGCGTCGTCGCCGCCGTTCGAAGTAACGTTCAAGTCTGTTTCCAAAGTGTCACAAGTTTCCTCGGCATATGTGTTTGAATCATCTGTCGATGCCTCCAATGTCACATCGGTATCAGAAACTCGATAATAAGAAAGTCGGAGTTGTGAATAATCGTCTATATAGAATTCCGAGGTGCTGGCGTCTTCTAGTTGTTTTGTGGACATGGGAGTTGAATGTAACTGATTATTATTTTTGGCACTTGTTTTCGCTTAATTAAAAATAGTACTTGTCTTGAGAGTTACATATAACCTTCTAATATATTTTTCGATTACAAATAGTTATAATATACGTATTAAGGTTCCTTTAAATAATTAAGTATTTCTTTGTGGGTAAAGGTATTTTAAAGTCTTAAAGTCACAGTAATGCGGGTATTCTGAACATAAGTAAATTTTATTAACTTACATGATATACAAGCACACGTTTTGATGTTTATGCAAATGTATTTAAAATTGTAAACCAGAGCTACTACGTAAGTGAATCCCATACGTTTAATTATTTAAAATAAATAAATATAATTTTTTATACATCTGACACACAACGCCATCTAGTTTCAAATTAAGCAGAGCTTGTACTTGAAAGTTAGATTGGCTGATAGAATAGATATTTATAAATTTTGGTGTAAATACATACATATAATACATAGAAAACACCGAAACTCCGAAACAAATATTTACAGATCCGAGACGCATACGCTACCACTGCACCGAGGTAGTAAAAATCCATATGTTAGCTGTATTATATGTATATTAATTTTTATTGATTAACTAAATTATTATACTAGATCAACACATCGATGCATCTACCGTGTGCCATTTCGGCAATAGCCCAAGTTCAAATGAAAGAGAATTAAAATTCGTGGGCATTTAATCCGTTTTGTACAAGTGTGCACGAAATATTAAATATTTGTAATTTTAAAGATAATGCAGACAAAAGTTTTTAGTTTTAGTTTTTTAGGGATCATGATACCTATTTGATGAGAGATGATGACGATGATGATAAACAGGAATATATATTATCCTATGTCACCCAGACTCAAAACAATAATTTGTGTATTAAAAAAGTGTTGTCACAGATAGAGATCGAATCATCAACACTCAGCGCAGTAGGAAGCGGCGAGGTGACCGCTTAAACCACTACGCCATCCGTGCAGTTATTTAAATTGTAGCATGAATGTCATATCTTTAGTAATTTTAAATTCCTATGGGGGCCTGTTCTATCGTTACCAAATTTGGGTACCATACTGATCAGATCAGATCAAATCAGACTGCAGTGTGAGTTGTGTGTAGTTTAAAACCAGAATTTTCAGTTTTAATTATCTGTGGATTGGTGCGCAATTCAAAATTCAAATAATTTTTTATCGAAAGCCATGTTTATTTTACTATAGCAAAGCTACAAGAGTTACAACTGGAAGCCTTCTGACTTCCACCATACTCAAAAGACCTTGCCCAACAGATTACTACTTTTTTCAAAATTTAGTCAATTTTTAAGTGGGAAAAAATTTAAACATCTGAGAGGCAGTACAAAACGCTTTCTCTGACTTCATTGCCTGCCGTCCAGCAGACTTCTACAGTAAAGGGATAAACAAACTGCCAAGAAAATGGCAAAATTGTATTGATAATTTGGGCCCGTACTTTGATTAGCTAAATTTAAAAAAATAACTAAAATAAAATGTTCATAAAAATCTCCAACTTCATAGGTAAAGACCTAATATTATTATTATTAATCTGAGACATGTTTGAAAATAAAAAACAAATCACCATCAGTGGTCTGTTTATCGAATGACCATGACAGATCTGTCTTCTATTACTGTATAACAATAAGAATGTGCCTAATGCTTTATTGATCGGAAAACAATAAGATAATTAGACAATGATATGTTTCACTTAGGTATTTGCTGTCTGGTTCGATCACGAAGATGTCAACAATAATTAAACAGAATGTTGGCCGTGATCAGAGGAAGTAGTCGCGAGGGTTATAAATATAAGTTGAACAGTTTTATAGTGCTGTACTAGAGGAGTTAAATTTCACTTTCTTATTACATTACGGACTTAGAAAATGAAGAAGGGAGTGGTTATTTTAGTTCTCTTAAGTATTGGATTAGTTTATGGATATATTTTACCTTTGGGTGGTTTGGAGGTGAGTAATGTGATACTGTTGATGTGTTGTAGGATGTCAGTATTGTTTTGATATTTGGCGCCATGGATGTAGCAAAAAATAAATGAAAAAAATTCAATACGATAAATACGTTGAAACAGCCTGTGATTCATATTTAATACATTGGTACAAAAAAAAAGAAGATTAAAGTTAGTTTACAAGAAGAAAACACATTACCATTATGATATCTATTTGGAAATGTTTGTGTGTGTGTATGCACAATAAAATTATAACGTAAGCAGGTCGTATTTTACCGTAAGAACAAAAAAAGTAGAACAAGAACATAATCTGAATTTTCAATAAAAAGCCTAAATTGATCTTGAGGCTATAATACTAATATTATAATTCTCTGTATATATCCGATCCTCTGTATATATATCCGAAGGGAATGATGCATATTTAGTGTGCAGTAGTTTACAAACATTTCGTTATTCAGTAATACATTGTAATACATTGTATTATACATATAAAATTTTAAAAGGTGTACTAAAACATACGTGACCATTATGGAATTTACTTTGCTGATTGTTTATATAATAATCCGAACTTAATATTTATAATATTTATCAGTGAAAATTTTAAATATTGACGAGAATAAAGATTGAGAGAAGAAAGATAGAATAAATTATATAGTATTATATTTGTGATTGACAATCATCATCGTTAGTATGTCGCATCGACGTCGTAATCATCACAGTAGAATATATCAGATAGGAAAGGGTCTATTTCATTCTGTGTATCGAGTTGATCTGAAGTAAACTCTACTACTAGATCCTCTGTTTCTCAATAATACTATTAGTAAATAGTGTATACTTAAATTTATTAATTTAGGCTGACATTTCGACTCTTCGATGTGTGTACCTGACTACTACTAGTATAAGCAAACACGGAGTACTAAAGAAAGATAGGGAGCAGTATAGGCAAGAATATTATGCAAGTAAATCAGGCATTACTCTCAGGTTTTCACGATGCATTTATAAAGGCTTCCCATGGTATGTATACTACGGATATGCGCGGACGTATACGATGACAATGGCAAGAACAGACCACAGCGCTACTGTGCTACTCCGTGGTACTCGTGTAAAAAGAACTAGTAAATTAATAATTAAATATTCATTTTGGGTTTCCTTATGAATAGGATTTACTTTGTTAAACTATAAACTCTTCAAATATAAAGCCCGTGCTTAACTGTACGCTCGAGTTAGTTTTCATTTTTGCCAATAGAAATTAAATTTTTTTTTATCTTCGAATTTTATTTCAATATAAAGTGCCACAAACGTGTTATGTGTGAGTGGCGTGAGTGGTCTGTCTGAGCAAGTACTCTTATTACCTATTCTAAATCAGCATACAATTTACATTCACTGCATTAAAGTTTAATATCATATTTAAATTCTACCCCCTTGATTCAGACCAATTCATTACTGATGCACTCAAAGTTTTTTTTTTTTGTCATAAATGAAAAAATATTTTCTTTCAAGAATTTTTACGTTCAATTAAACTGACTATTAAGTTTCATTGTTAACGTTAGTAACATTGGACAGCGTGGTATAGTAGGCCAAAACTGCCTTTCTAAGGAGAGGCCTACGTACAGCAGTGGACTATTATGGCCTGCACGTCCAGCGGGGAGAGTATCGAAGAGGATTTCCGAGGGAAATTGATCACGATACGACGAGCGGTCGCCGGCGCAGGGCCCGCGACTAGGACTGCAGAGTGCGCCCTTGTTCGTGCTTACTCGAGCCTACCGCAAACTGGTGGATAGGAAGGCCGAGGATATTTTAAGCGTGCTCTGAGACCCACCGACCGCGACATTGAAAAGCGCGTTTAGAGGATATCGCGGCGGCATGCGATGTCGTCCACCGGTATGAGCCAAGATATAATAAAGTGCGCTCGCGGTATCAAAAGGAGGTTTATTTCACTAGTGTGCGCGGCGACCGTACATGCCTTTTCGATGCCCACCTCCACTGACCGCTGGTTTCCGCTAAGCCTTTCTGCCCCGAGAAACCCTCTGCAATGCTCCGAGGTTGTTATCAGAGCATTGAAATTTATACCTTATTAACCGACTTCAAAAAGGAGGAGGTTATCAATTCGAATGTTTTTTTTTTATGTACGAGTATGTTCGTTCATAACTCTGTCATATGTATATAGACGGATTTTCAAAAAAAATTTTGTTCGAAAGGGGTTTATTCCGAAATGGTCCCATTTAAATTTCATATAGATCTGATAATGAGTTTCAGAGACAGACACAAAATAAAAATCAACCGCGATAGCTGCTAGGTTTTTAGTGCTCTTTGTTGGTATTGTTTGAAGTCGGTTCAACTTTTTTTTTGTTTTAAATCAAAATGGCAAAAAATATCTATTGATAAATTTAATATCCTCTACCGTCCTTTCCGCCAGTTTGCTCAGGCCTCTATGTTACATTTTTGCGCCTTTTTTATATTACAGTCAATTTTCACGATAAACATTCTCTCAATGAATAATTACCTCTGTTTCAAAAAGCTTTGTCGCCTGGTGTGATAAAAGAACTAAAGACATTTGTGCAGTATACTTTATTATACTATATAACAAATAATAATAATTTTATATTAAATTACATCATTACATTATAGGTTTAAGTATCAAGAATTGTAGTAAGAGTATATTACTAAGGCGAATTTTAATTTCCTGAATGGAGGACGCAGGTTATTTTCGTGTTCTTATGTACTGTTTTCTATGTACTACAATTTTGTAATATACTTTTGTTCTATTTTAAGTGTCACCATCACCTTTTGTTTAGTAAACTACTCACTTTCTCAGAATTTGTTTTTCTATTACAGCTTGATCTATTAAGGGAAACAACAAATGAGAATGAAAATATAAAAGAATCACGAGTAAAAATTACAACGCCTGAACCGGGTCATACAAAGGAATTACCCAACAACAGATCTAATATTGACGAGAATGCCTTATACGAACATGCTGCTGTGAAACAAAATAATCAAAGTGAAAGAGCGTTTATATATATCAATCAAAAGTACAGGAAGCCGAGTCTTCATCAGTACTTCCGATTAGCACAAAATGGACCAGAGTTTTCGCGAAGTTTTCACTTGCCTCCGCCTTTACCTCAAGCTTTTATACGACGTCGTAATGAACCCTGTAAGTCTGAAACTGAGCAGGTTAATTCTTATTACAATGGATACAATATGCCTTTTAGAGCACCGGACATACCGACATATTTTTTGCCACCGCCACTAGTTTATAATTGTAATTATAAAGATTTCCAAAATATCTTAAGAGAAATTCCTTACGATAGTAACAAAAAATTACACAACTATAATATAATACAAAACAATATGCGACCAGATTTTATAGAGCTTTTGAAACCACCTCTATTAAGACCTTCAGATAGAGTAAATGTTAAGGTTAAATATGACGGTATTTCTGGCCCAAGATTCTCTCCTCACAACTACAAAAATATTCCTTATCACCCACCGATTAGAAATGAACATAATTCTAAAGCAAACATTTTAGTAGACGAACGAAAAAGCGATACGAGGAAAAAATATGGCTTCAGCTCGTATGTGCTACATCCTGCTTTCCAAAGTACTGGAATCATACAGAAAGTCGAAGAACCTGGCTTTGAAGGAGAACTAATACTTGATGAGAAACCCTCACGTTTTCACGAAAAACCCCAATATGAGGATAAACTATTGGACCAATATTTAAGAGACGCTTTGGGAGAACAGGTAACAAGTAAAGAAAAAGAAATAGTTAAAAATGACTGTAGTTATCCTGACTGTGTATTACAATCTACAAAACATTCTTCTAGCATTACACATCAAAAAGACACCAATACGAATGAATGTAAATGTGGACAACGTCTAAAATTAAAAGCAAAAGATTTTTTTTTATCAAAAAACAAACCAGACAGAAGAGAAAAGCATTTAAATAAAACAAATAACACACTAATAAGGCCACCATCAGATTTAGCCTATTTTAAGGAAATGATGTCTCAGACCTCAAATACAAAAACCCAAGATGATGGGTTAGCTTTTAACACTATCATCAGAGTGAACAGTACGTTATATCATTAACTTCTCATATTGTGTTTTATAATTTATCGTCTAGCAACTGTTCGAAGTAAACAACACAAATAAAGATATAAAAACAATTAGAATAGAGACACGTTGGCTGAATATAAAATTCTAAAAGTACAGTCAACGAATACGCAGGTCTTGAAGCAACCATTCCACAGGAAAGTGCTCGCAGTGTAGATCATGATAACATCTGCTCAAAGCTATCACGATTGAGATCGCTGCGCGCGCATCCCCCTTCTTACCAACGTTTGTTGCTTCGAGAAATGAAATGTAAACACTGTAGAACGCCAACAGATGTCCAGATAGTCAATAGAGTCTTTAGAGAAATACAGAGTAGCCAGAAGGGACGCAGGTCCCACTTGTAAGTTCTTTGCAAAATCTTGCTCCTAGTTTAAGTCTAATTAAGTAACTAAGTATCACTTAACTTAATGACAAATATATATTTTGAAACTCAAAAATTGAATTTGATTTCAATCACAAAACATGGATTAAAAGCAGTTTACATTTAGTATTTGCTTTTAGAATGATTAACTAACTAAATGAGAACAACATAATTTATTTAATGCGTGCATGAGTTTCTATCCAGCTTTTTTATTTCTGCGTGAACCTTGTCCGTATTTGCAAAAGGAGATGACTTCGCTCGGACTTCTGGTATTGTTCGAATATATATGTACCGTCAAATGGATGACTTCAATTACTAGTGTTTTTATTTAAACATAGATATTTCACCTACAAGAACACCTTGGTTGCAGTAGTAATCATGTTCAATTACGTAATTTAACAAAACAATACAATGAGTCTTATAAAAGTTTTATTAATAGTGCTGATAACGCGTAGTGACTCCGTCCGTCTATCCATAAAATGAATGTGTAGCATCTGAAGAGTCCTGAGATCCTAGATTGGAATTAAACAAAATGAGAAGAATGATATGGCTATGGAATAATTCCATTGAAATAAATAATCGAATACTAAATTAATACGTTACTATTTTTCTACCACCGCAACCGTCAGTCAGATCGAATTAAATCAAATGAAAATAATTATCACATTGAAGTCTAATTTTAAATATTTCGATTTTTTCAGTTACATCTCGTCAGAATCATTAAGCATTATAAAAAAAATATTTAAATATCATTATCATTTTTGTTTGTATTGATGATTTTTTTAGTTGTGTATGTTTACACCCAAGTTTCACACAGTGGGTTAGTGTAAGTGGTTGTCACTAAGGAGTGGGTTATAACATTCTCACTCTCTCACTATTATTTTCATTACCCTTCTTTAATGAATAGGTTTAAAGTTAGATTTCTAAAGTTTGTGATTTTGTATCCGAGGGTGTCCTACTGTGATATCAAATTAAAGAAAACTGCGATTGTAATATATTTTTTTTCTATTTTGCTTCAGATATGCTTCGTAGCGTGACTAGCCCTAAAATTACAGTCAACAACAAGATCTCTGCAATGTTAGGTGTATACTAAACCCTCGGTTTTAACACTCCATTTGTACAATGAGTTTAATATACAATAAACAATGGTATGTAAACTGCGCAAAACTTTCATTTTGTCTAAACTAATGTATTAAGAGATATGAATATGACCTCTGAAATTACTAATCATAATATATTGAAAATTACTTCAAAGTAAGCTAAATTAAAAAGGGAGGTTAGTCACTTAGGCTAAGGGTTACTAGAACCCTCATACGTTTTGTAATTATTTATGTTCTATTGTTATTACTTTATTTTTTATTTATGAAGCTGATTACAAAAAAGGCATCAACATGCTTCTCAAATTACTACAAATCTGTTGCAATAATTTGAAAAGGTCTGGTATCTGGATTTAAATCAAAAATTAATAAAGATCCTTGATAGGGCCGGAATTGAACCTAAGACCCTCTACAATAAATTAGTTTAAAAAACCTAAAAAATAGGGGTGCTAGTCTGTTGTAAAAATATTTTATTGACAGATATTGGTAAAAGTAAACTTATTTTATTAAAAAATATCTAAAATTATTTTTAGTTCGGCCACATACAAAAGCGTGTTTTTTAGTTTTTTAAACTATAATTTATTTCAGCATTTTTAGTCATTCATGATGATTAATTTCTCAGCTAGACTAAAAGAATCACAAGTAAGTAAGTCGCAATCACAACCTTCAGCACACGTGTGCGAAGTTTGAATTAAATTTGACGTTTTGAATTCCGTTTTTTTTACTTTACTTATTTTAAGTTATTAAGGAATATTTTAGCTTCAAGGCTCTTTAGCCTTGAAGCTAAAATATTCCTTGATACATTTTTAAGTTAAAAATTTAAGTAGTTTCAAATTGTAAACTTTCTCAAATCGCAGATCGTCATCTGCATTGTGGGAGTATGCATATTTCATATCACACAGCGCTCTTCGTTCTGAAACTGTGCGGGACTAGCCAAATTTTCTTCTAACGATTCGACTGCTATTTAATTATGTAGTTGTGGATTATCGCTACTATTTTCATGTTTTATGACTGGTGAAATATCTCTTCTAAGCTTAATTATGACTTTATCAATTAATTTAGTTTTGATCTCATTGTTACGCTGTAACAAATTTATTGTCTCTGTTTACCAAAAAATGGTCATTAATTTACAATTAGAATGTGTGTCTATTTTATATTTACTAAAATTAGTCGAATACACGGTAGAAATGTTTAGTATATTCAGACTATTATTTTATGAATTTAGAAAGAAGGAAAGAATGAAAATAAGTACATTTCGTAAGACTAAGCATACGCCTTATTCATATATAATATATAAAAAAAACTCAACTAATTTAACTTATTTAAAAGATAATGCATATTATGATATGGCATCTGAATCACATAAAAATACACAATTTATGCCTAAATATGAACTGAAACTTTGTGTGATCCACAAATTGTTGTTCTAAGTCTGGGTGTTCTTTGTTTCCATTTTCCGTCTGGGTGTTCCCCCGCAACACAGGATATGTTCCTAGTGCAGGAGCTGTCTTTATAAAAAAAAAGAAGCATTTTCTCTTTTTCTTGAAGTCAGTTCAAAAGAAATAACAAATGAATTTCAATCAACCGATAAACTGACATTACTCCTGAAATATAATATTCTATACAGAACCGTTACTTGACGACGCCGACGTAAATTCCCTATGTTACTTATTTTTAGTGTCTCTGTAGACAGGTGTACTCCGTAACTTACATATATCTGTTACATCAGCCATATTATCTTCTCGTATACCGTCACTTAGGATGGGGGCGCGGCTGTTATACTCGTATCATAAATGGTTTGTTTATATTTCGAGTTTCATAATTTAAAATTTAACCAATTCGTATCAATTTGAGATTTTTAAAATAAAAGTTTAAACTGTGTATTATTATACTTATTACACATCAACAAAAAATTGTAAGATAGATGAATAAGAATGTACAAATGGCGCAACCTCTTACAGGCAACTTTTGGATGGACAAATCAACAGTAAATAGACGAATTTTATGGGTTGTTTTGGTGTAAAAAGAGTAATAGAAGAATCACGGAATATTTCTACAGCTTACACAATTCACTATTGATCGATGGGAAATAGTAAAAGTAGTTGTAATTTTCAAAGTAGAGACACAAACAGTAGACTATTGGGGATATAAAAAAACATCGTCGTGCAAAATCGTAAGTGCAAAATCTCAGCTGCAAAATAGGGCGTCAATGAACTAGCAGTGTTTGAATATCAAGCCGTCATGCGGGGTTGATTGATGGACTCCATTGGAATTAGTCTATACGAAATTCTATACCAATTTACTTTCCTATTTAGTTCCTTCCCTCAAATTTGCTTATAAATAACGTTTTAGGCTAATACGGATGATTAAGTTTATTTTATATTAAAATAACCAACCCATATCGACCCTGAAATGGAAATAAAACTGATGTGCAAATCTAATTCAGGTGTAGTAATGAATAAATGACGTGAAATTAATGGGAATTGTACTTTGTTCTGTAGTTATTTAATGGTTTTTGTTATTTATTGTCTAATATAAAATTCTTAAATTCATAAACTTATTCATTATATACCACACAAACCATCAGGAGTTTATCCGTGTTATACCAGACACACCGCGGTTACAATACAATTACATATGTATATATAGTTGAGTATCAGCTACACAGTAAGTAGTTTATCAAAACAGTTTTACAATTTTTTTATTTATCATACTACAGGTTTCGATAGGTATGTTGTTCATTATACGGGACAGCATGTGTTCCCACGTTCGCGTCCCATGTACTCGTACATTAGTATGCTAAGGTATTCTATAAATCGGTAAGTATGATAAGTGGAGTAATGACTCCAATCTAATATTTTTCTTCAATTTAGCAAGATTGTGGTATTCCTCACCCTGTACACATACACTTACTTTATTGAAAACACTTAATATTTGACAGTACAGGCTACATTCCTGTTCTTTAAATTGTAGTTTAGTTTTTCTAGGTACTATTGTTTTATATATAATTATGTAATAACATCGACCACAACGGGATATAATATAAAAAGGCTTTTTATTGCGACATTTGAAAGATTTATTTTTGTAAAGGCTTAAGTCATAGATATCGCCTACATTAAGGTTACTATGGTACTTTAAAGTTATACATAGATTTTTTGACACACCAAGAGACAGATGTTTTGTGTCCTCTACTCTTGTGCCATCAAGTTACTGTTTTATTCTGTGATCTATGCTTCACGGACCCTTAAAATTCTTACCAGCAAGCTATTATTTAGAGATCTGTTATCAACAAGGAGCCCTTATGTTTTAGTGCTATCTCTATTAGAGTTTACTTATTTATCAAAAAGAAAAAAATATAAAATAACATGTGCAGTATGTAGTAGTAATGTTATAGCGTATAAAACATCCTCTTGTTATGACAAACACAAGAAAATATATGATATACATATATGTATGTGCTCTGTTGAAGAACAAAGATAATTACCGTTGTTTAAATTAAGTTCATGACCAACTTTCTA